TATATATATATATATATATATATATAGATATAAACTTTTTCATCAATTACAGTCTTACCACAAATCTTAAAGATGAAGAATGTTTTTATATTGACGTTTTGCGCTGTGAATCCAGGCAGAGTAGTAATGACGGTTCTATGATCATAAGTGCTACAAAAATGCATCCCAAAGAATTGAGATTATTGCGTAGTGAGTTTGAAGATGAGAAGAAATGTCGTTTAGCGGTAAGTAGTTATTTATATTTTATAACAATAAACTTAATAGGCGACAATTAGTTGGAGATGCTAGCTAATATGTCTTACATCAATATGGAACATGTTTCATTAATAATAGAAAAAAATAGTAAAATAAGTTTACAATCTTAGCTTTGCTTATGTCATAATCTTTATTTCTAGATCATGCCACTAATAAGTGAGTTGGAGCATGGAGCAATAATAGCCAAAAGAAATAGCAAAAATAAATATGACATTGTATTGCGGTTGTTACAGGAATTTGACTTTTTCAGAGAACAAATTAAAGCGCATTTTATGATCTAGATCGTATATATGGACAACATGAGATTAATTTATTCAATCTCAGTAATAAATACGTGTCAATAAATGTAGAGGTGTGTATAACATGTACACACACGCACGCACGCACATTTATAAGTTCCGTTATGTATAAATGGAATAAAACGCAAATAAACCATTCTTTTTTATTCTCTAAAAATTTTCTTATTTTTTTGACATTGTTTCTTATATTATGCGGCAAAAAATTTGTCACAATTAATATTATAGCGTTTTCGATCGAAACGTGTTCGACCCCAGATTCAATATTGTATTGCCTCCGCCAATAAAAGATAAATGCATGCAGCGTTTTTGATTAAACGGATTTTGATCGACCCAACGTTGATTAATCATTATTTTACTATGAATTTAAGTTCTTTATTGGTGAAGACGATGCAATAACGTTATTAATCAATCTTGAGTCAATCGAAAACGCTAATAGTAAAATAGTGATTAATTGATCGACGATGGATCAAACATGCTTCATTCGAAAACACTATTCATATGATGGTCATATAAAATTTTAAAAAATCCAAATTTTTATTGCATAAACATGTGTGTGTGTGCGTATATGTATATATCTTTTTATACCAAAGTAACTTGTATCTTTAATAAGTTCAAACTTTTTAATAAACTTGTATCTTTGATAAATAAAAATACATTTTATGCATTGAATTAGTCCACTTTTAATTATGTAAAATACCCAAATGTCCAAATTATAATTATTTATATGCAATTTGTGTAAAGTAACATATGCAGTTTCTTATAAAACATTAAACTTAACGTAAAAGGATTATTTTAAATATTCAGTGTACATCGATAAAAACATGCTTCTAAATTTGTTTTTTTAACAGTTATGATACACGGAAATGTTTAAAAACAATATAGATGTGTAGTCTATAAAAACTGTAAAATTATTTGCGTGGTTATTTTACACAAATTATATATATCTAGAAAAGATACATGTTATATTAGATTATAATTATAAAAATTATTAAAAATATTCAACCTGCAAAATACGTTGTACATTAAAAAAAAGCAAAGTGTTTCTAATTTTGATTTTGATTGAGCCCGAAGTTGAAACAACTTTCATCAGCCTAATAGCCCCTTTGAATCCATATATATTAAAATATTAATCATATAAATATTAAAAATATAATCATACACCAGAATACTTTGAATAAAATTATGAAAAGTACACTATTTCTTCGATTCATTATCTTAAAATGGATAGGCTAGGACTTAGGTGCGTTGATGAATATTTAATCCTGGAATATTTCCTAAATGTAATTCATGATTGACAGATCAGAACAAAATATATTGAATTATTCAGAGAGTTTGTAAAATTTTTTTATGACAGAATTGAAAACAATTTTTATATGTTTATATATCTTTATTTAATAATGTATGCACAAGTTGTTAAAGATGGCCAAAAGTTGTCGAAAACAACAGTGCTTATATAATATTACTGAACAAAGATGACTCTAAACATATAAAAATTGTTTTCAATTTTATTATAAAAATTATTATAAATTTTCTAAATAACACAATATATTTTTATTTCTGAATAATGTACTTATGTTTGTTTTATATATTTATTTATATTTTTTTATACGAGAAAAAATAGCAGAAAAAAATATTTAAAAAAAAGATTATACATGAATAAAAGAAAAAAACTTGTTAATACATGGAAAAAAAAAGTATTTTAGCTGCCGCAGTAAATTTTTATATAAGCTATCGTAGCAAAATTTCTTACGGTTAATTATTATTCGAACAGTAAAGAGACTTGTTATAGATAATAATTTTATTTACCGAAATTAGTTTTGTTAAATCTGCAAATTATATTGCTAATATATAATAAGAAATTTATTTTTATCTTATTATCTATAAATTTGTATTAATGGCGACAATTTCTTTGCAATAGTAAAATGAATTGATTAAAAATAAATTATTTTGTTATAACAGCAAATTTTAACTTGTTTTCTCATTTCAAAATTTGTCGATTTTTTTAACAAAACAGATTTGTTGCATATCGAATAATCTGTAAAACTAGTTACAGTAGCGAAATTTTATCGCTAACATATTTAACATGCAATAGCAACGATTATTTTATTGCGATAGCAAAATTTCTTTTCTGTGTGTAAATGTGTACTTTTATTTCTTCCTTCCCTACGATAAGTGGTTTACCTTTTTATATCTTTCCAGGATTAAATATTATAAATTGGCGTTGAAAAACAAAAGTAAGAAAAATTTTTAAATACATATGTACCACAAATGTATCACAAATTTAAATTAAAAATAAAAAAGAAAACTTTTTTACACAAACGTAAATATATTAATAAATTATGGTATATTTGAAATAATTTATCTAATAAAAAAAGAGTGCATTTTTTATTAACAATTTATTTACAATTTTGAAATATACATTTATTCTTGCTATACGTCAATTTCTTCGCAATCTTTCCTAGCCTACCCATGCATCCGTGGTCCTATGGCTTAACACTAGAACTACCAAAGCGGTCAAAATAATCAGTTTATTCCTTTTAGAATAATTATTTAAATTTATAATGTATTTGCTGTGAGATTTTTTTTCTGTGATTTGTTGCATTGTGTTAAATGATTAAATTGATTAATGTACTTTTTCTCTTTATCACTTTTTATAACAGAAAGAAAAAAGAAATAGAAATTGGTATATGTTAATCATCGGTAGTTCTAGTGTTGATCCCATGGTTGAGCATGGACTTTCGAAATTCGTGGTCCCATCGATGATGGTCGAGCACGAATCTCGAAACATTGATATGATCGAACATTGAAGAATGGTCGACTATCAATACAAATTTCGGACGCAACTAGCGGAAACTGAGCCGAGCTCTGCGCTAGCGTCCTGCGAGAAACATCGAGACAATCGCTCTCGGATTTTCGGTGCAAATAGCGGTAACTGAGCTGAGCTCTACGCTAGCATCCTGAAAAATTCCCAAACGGTTCCGCGAGAAACTTTCAAACGATTCCGCGAAAAACTCGTTCAATCTTATTAAACCTTATCGATTTAAGGTTTTTTTACGAACTCCTCGGTATAGAATTTTTTATTAGGTAGGCTTTTCTGTTAGGTAGAATTTCTCTTAGGTAAGATTTTCTATTAGAGTTTTCGGATAAGTAGAGTTTTTAAATATTTTATTACTTTCTTTTTTTTTATTCTTTGCTGTCAATAAATTTTGGAACTTCTGCTTTGGCTGTTAGTTTGTAGTTTATTGATGACAAAGATAATGATAAGACTTCGGGTGGGCAAACAGCAAGATTCTCTTTTAAAAAACGGAAGATGTTTCTTGCGTAAATTATGAAAAAGTTTGAACGTTTAGACGTTTAAATGTTTATAAATTTTACTAATAAAATATTATTACTTTTAGAATTATAAAAGATACTTTTGATTATAAATAAAAAATTGTATTGTTTAGCTCTTTTTAACTAAAATCTTTTGCATTATTCATAAAACTTTTAAACTGTAAAGAGCCCTGGTTGGTTCATGTCCGTGTTACATCCATTTTCCGGGATGGTAAAAGAGTCATGGTTGGTTCATGTCCGTGTTACATCCACAATTTATTGAACAGAAATACGTCTCGCATATAAATATAATTTATATAAAGAGACGTATTTCTGTTCAATAAATTGTGGATGTAACACGGACATGAACCAACCATGACTCTTTTACCATCCCGGAAAATGGATGTAACACGGACATGAACCAACCAGGGCTCTTTACAGTTTAAAAATTGTATGAATAATGCAAAAGACTTTAGTTAAAGAGAGCTGAACAATACGATTTTTCATTTATAATCAAAAGTATCTTTTATAATTCTAAAAGTAGTAATATTTTATTAGTGAAATTTATTAATGAACCAACTATGACTCTTTTACCATCCTGGAAAATGGATGTAACACGGACATGAACCAACCAGGGCTCTTTACAGTTCAAAAATTGTATGAATAATGCAAAAGACTTTAGTTAAAGAGAGCTGAACAATACGATTTTTCATTTATAATCAAAAGTATCTTTTATAATTCAAAAAGTAATAATATTTTATTAGTAAAATTTATTAATTACGCCAAAGAATATCTTTAATGTGGAAAATATGGTATATCATATTAGTAATTTCGACGCTGATTCACGGACATGAACCAACCAGGGCTCTTTTACCATCCCGGAAAATGGATGTGGCCATGTAGTTCCAGGCAGGCTGTAAAATGGATGTACGCGCCGCTAGTGTACGGCCTAAAAAAACGTCTTACGAAAAACGGCAGCGTGGCCCCTCTCAGATTTTTCTCTGCCTTCAGATTATGACAGGTTATGTCACAAGATTGAAAAAAAGTTCTCAGCTGATTTGTGTCCTCACTGTATTTGTGATTATATTGATTATATATTAGTTGTCATTGTTTTCATATAATAAGATAAGAATGTCGGCGATAAATATAAAGTCTCTCGCTCGTCAGGACGTTTTACACTTTTTACGTTCATTCGACACTGTGTTAACCGATTGTGATGGTGAGTGGAAATCGTATGCGAATGTACTTGCATGTTGATATTTTTGTAAAAGTTCCCTTTAGGAGTATTATGGATGAACATGACACCTCTGCCGAATTCATCGAGCGTTATGAATCTATTTCGCAAACTCGGCAAACGAATTTTCTATGTGACCAACAACAGTACGAAGACTCGAGATGATTTAGTGGAAAAATGCAAAACTCTCAAATTTCAAGCGAACAAGGATGATATTTTATGTACATCCAACCTGTCAGCTTGTTATCTTCAAAGTCTAGGTTTTCGCAAGAAGGCCTATGTTATTGGTTCTGAAGGTAAGACCTGTCTATAAATCGACTGCAGTATGAAATATGTTCTATACAGCTATTTCACTCTGATATCTATCTTTATATAGCAATTGCCAAGGAATTGGAACAGGCTGGTATTTCGTATTGCGGAATAGGACCAGACACAATTAGTCAGAACACTTTATATTCTGTTTTTGAAAAAGATCCTGAAGTAGCTGCAGTTATAGTTGGTTTTGATGAGCACTTTAGCTATCCTAAAATGGTAAAGGCAGCTACATATTTAAGTGACGCTAGTGTACATTTTATTGGTACCAATACAGATGAAAGATTTCCAGTTTCAAACGATGTCATTATACCTGGTAAGCATGTGAGATGTAACTCCATTTACAACTTATTTTTTTTGAATCCTGTAACTTTTTATTATAGGTACAGGAAGTCTAGTCAGATGCATAGAAAGCTGCTCAGAGAGAAAGGCGATAATTATGGGTAAACCAGAGGAATACATGGCTAAAATGTTGAAGGAACGCTCTAACATCAATCCACAACGCACTTTAATGATCGGAGATCGATGCAATACCGATATAATCTTTGGAACTCGTTGCGGTTTCCTGACTTTGTTAGTCCTGACAGGAGTAACTGCTTTATCGGACGTCGAGAAGTGGAAGCAATCGGGGCAACAAGAAGAACGAGATCTTGTTCCCAATTATTACATAGATGCACTCGGCGATTTATTACCATATTTAAAAGAACTGGAAACTCTCTCTGAAGTGTCATAAGTTTGAAATTTAGATATTTAATTAAAGAAAGTAAGCGCCAAAACGGATTTCTAGCTAATATAAAGTAATAATATAATTTTTTAATGCAACGTGCGATATCTCGTACACACATAAATATTTATGTGTGTACAGAACTCCTGTGACATGATCTCTTTGGAATGGAGTCAATTCTAGAAATTCATATCAATAGTGCAATAATGTAAAAGTCACTGGGCTCTCTCTCCTGTATAAACATTTAAAGGATATTAAACCAAAGATATCTCGAATAGTTTGTCTCGATTTATTTCTCACTTTTACTTGGCGTAAAAGAGATTGTTAAAAAATATATAGGCGATTATTGGATTAAAAACAAATTAAACGGAGAATGTTTGGATGTGCTGCGGATGGAGGCGTAAGACGAGCAAGTAAATCTTCCAGTTTAAATCTTCCAACCCCATATTTATTTTTTGGCAATGCCTTTTATATGAAAAAGTACACCTTTTTTCTCGAGAGGGATGATACATATTTCGAATGATAATGTGAGAAAGGAAGAGAGAGAGAGAGAGAGAGAGAGAAAGAGAGAGAGAGAGATGGGTAAATTGGTGGAGAACAGGGTGTGTGCAAAAAGATTATTATAATACAATATATTATTCAAATATATATATGTGATAATGATAAACTTAACGGTAAAGAGAACGAGAGAGAGATATATAGATTCGTAATTCTTACCTAGATTTCGTCGTAACTCATAACAATGAAATGTATGTGTATGTATGTGTGTGTGAGTGTATGTATGTATGTGTGTGTGTATGCCGTCAAATGTAAAAGAAGCGCGATATGTGTATCTATTTTGTATGGTGTATGTGTGTGTTTGTATATATTATTTTATATTCTCTAGAGTTTATCAGGGTCTTCCGATTCTTTTTCTAATCTTCGCGAAGAAGAGAGTTAGAGATGCAATTGTATGCCTATATCTTACATAGACACATCCAAATATTGATTTCGAAAAATTCGAATCATAAATTTTTTTAACAGCTAATCGTTAACGGCTTCGATGCGTAAATATTGTAGCGAGACAGCGTAACATTCATTAACAGGCATACGTGATAATATGAGAAATCCGTATGCCGTCGAATGGAAATAATCGGCATGGGTCTTAATGATGGCCCTTTCTTTTTTTTTTTCTTTTTTACAGACTACGTTCTCTCTATCGAACTCCTCTTCAAATTCGATATAGACTGAAGCTTTCCTGTAAATCACAGTTTTACGCATGATACACGTCGAAAAGATATAACACGTCCCAAGGTACGTACGCTTCGATTTTCGCAACAAAACGCTTTGCGGCACGTCGATCCGCGAGGATCGACCATAACAATAAATAATTTGCCTTTTTTTTTTCATACATCTGCTCGAGTTTATATATCATAAATTTTTTTCTTTTTATGGACTAGGACAAATCTGATGCGATAATAACATTTAAACGTAATCTTAACAGTTAACGTAATCTTCGTTACATGCAATATTCTCAGTGTTTTCTCCATTTTTCCCCTTATAGCTTATATTAAAAAATGTATCAATTTCTCTATCATTTTTACATCTTTTGTATTACAGAGAGAAAGAGAGAGGGGGGAGAGAGAGAGAGAGAGAGAGAGAGAGAGAGAGAGAGAGAGAGAGAGAGAGAGAGAGAGAGTAGTAGTAGTAGTAAGTAACGTAAGTAAA